TATATAAATCAATCTTAGAGCAATCACACCAACTAAGCCAGTCTAACATTTATTTCAGTTCTCATTCCCAATAAAGACTACTCAAACTAACTCCCTTTTTATATGTGAAATAGGTCTAACTATGTCAAATGTCTCCTTGACTTTCATTTATGTACCTTTTCTCTCCTTTTCTAGCTTAGACAAGAGATCAGGAGTCAGCAAGCTTTTTCTGTAGAGGATCATATAGTAAATATTTTACTATATGAGAGTCACAGGGTCTTTATTGAAACTATCCATTGCAACTAGAGCACAAAGGCAGTCATAGATCATATACAAGAGAAGGGTGTGGTCAGATTTAGTTGGTACCCTACTAGATTTGGCCCCCCAAGAGCAGTGTATTGACCCCTGAGATAAATCATGGGAAAACATGAAAGATCACCCAAGGTATCTTAACATTTAGCTTTCCAAAAGAAACCATTTCTAGCCATGCTGAGTTTAGACTGCCTCAGCACTGAAAAGCACTAATCTTGATCCAGAGAGGAATAAAGATAATAGTCTACTGAAATTAGATTCTACTTTTCCAGCTAGTAAAGTAGAACAGAGTTTTCCTAACTATAAAACAAACAGGGACTCACTCTGTGACCAGGCTTTCTAAATTTTCTAAATTATCTAGTACCAATCTTTCTTGCCATTACCCAACTTTTACCCAAGTTCTGTTGGATTATATACATAAATTTTGTCCAAGGAAGATCAAAGCATCACCACCTCCTCTCCATATAAAAATGAATTCTTATTTTCCCTCTTCTGCTACCAGAGCAAGATGCCAATTTCACTCCCAATCCACTTCTCTCTTGCTGCTCCTCAATGCATAAGTCAGAGAAGCTAAATATTCACTTTTTCAGTTGTCTTTACAGCTTAGCACAGCCACATATAAACATCATAACAAATAAATGTCATATGAAAGACTACCAGGTAAGCTGAGGAATGCTCTGAGAAAATTTTTATAAGTTTTAAAAAAGGAGCAGAGTCACAATTGCCAGGACCTCTCCTCTAATTTCTTTTCTTGCCTTAATGCTAATGTGATTCCTAGAATTGGAGCAAGTGTTAGAAAAAGCTAGAATTATAGATGTTAGCACTGAAAACTTTAAGCCGCCAAATCAATGCTAGAGGCCTTCTATCTCCAGAGTTGTTATTATATGGGAAAAAAAACAGGCCTTATATAAATTAAATTTCGTTGCAAAAAAGGCATTCTTAATGTACCATTTCTTGAAAGTGCTAGGCAATGTGTGCTGTGAATTCTGACTAAACAGAATTTCTTTAACCTGGAGAGGAAAGTAGCAGGAAGAACAAGGTCTGGCCTGAGGGTTGCCTAGGGAAATACAATCAAAGTAGGAAAAGCAAAGACAAGGCCCTAGATAATTATTGAAATGCTACAAATATGGGGGATAGGAAGGGCCTTTAAAAGACTACTCCTTTAGAATTGTGGGGTCAATAAGCCTTATTAATGTTCTACTCAGCAAATCAAGTCTGAAAAGCACTAATCTTGATCCAGAGAGGAATAAAGATAATAGTCTACTGAAATTAGATTCTACTTTTCCAGCTAGTAAAGTAGAACAGAGTTTTCCTAACTATAAAACAAACAGGGACTCACTCTGTGACCAGGCTTTCCAATTTGAATTACATGAATTTCCTACATGCACACCCGCTATTTGAAAAATAGAGGGTCAGAACTCATTTTTAATGGTTACAGTCTTGTAGTTTTCAAACTAATTATTTTATCTTTATTCTTCCATTTCTCTGGTATTCACAAAGGCATACTTAAGTGTCAATATATGACCATTTTGGACATTTGCAGAATCTTTGAAATAATTACTAACAATCAAGTAAATGATGATACTGTCAATGAGGACAATGGTTCTTTCAAGCATTCACACACTAGTTTAGCTGGCAAATCCATCACCTTAACTTCAGGGATAGTCACTTCTCTTCTACATCAATGCCACTACATAAAACACACAAAGATAAGTAATTCTACCTCCATAATACCTCAATACATTAAAAATACACTTCAGAAATATTCTTATTTTAGCTCATATATCCCTTTAAGTACAACTTTTAACTTAAAATATTATTTCACTCTCTTACAAACAATGTAATGTGTATAAACACACACACATACACCCCTACCTCTAACTCTAAATCCAAAAGTTTTCTGCTCTGTGAGAATTGTTTGGTGATTATATGCTGCAGTGTGAACATTTATCAATTATCTATACATTACAACAGACTTTAAAAAAAAAAAAAAAGATTTCAGGGTAGAATTCCTTAAAACTATCAAAGCTTTAGCAAGAAAGAATACAAAATACAATGAGGTTCAGTCTCAATTACAGTAGTGGAATGGAATTTAGTAAAGTTCCAACACTACATTTTAATGCCCAAATTTCTTATTGTCTTTTTTAGTTGACAAATATGTGCTTCGCAGCATAATAACAGCAGCTGAACAGCTGGGTGGCCTTATCAAGCACAAAGGCAGCAACAGCACATGCTGTTTAGTGTCGTTCTGATTGCCTGGAAATGGCAGCACATGCAGATTTATTCCCTGTTATAAATTAGAGCAATTATTTCTCTGAAGTTTACATTTTCTTCATCAAAGAGTCAAAACTTTCTGCACGTTAAAAAAGAGGACTTTCAAAAAGGATATCTTCCCTTTCTTTGATGATCAGTTCATTCTGTTCTTCCAACTGCCTGATCTTCTTCTCAAATGATTCTTGTTCAGCTTTCAGTCGTTCTTCTGTCACTTCCTTTTCTTCACTTACTCTGAAAGAAATAAGGAAAAAAAGAAAAAACCATCAGAATACAAAATATGTGCCTACAGCAGCAGTTTACCAAAACTTAATTTCTTCCAAAGGTGTGCTGAATTCTTCAGGGTTGCTCTGTGTTTTTGACTTTTAAATTACTCTCTCATAAAGCAATCTTCTTCACCTTTGTTACAAAATATGTTTGTTATTTTTACTTCAAGAATGTTTCTAGATAGACATCATGGCACATGCCTGTAATCCTAGGTATTCAGGAAGCTGAGGCAGGAAAAATCTCAAGTTCGAGGCCAGATCCTATCTCAAAAAAAAAAAAAAAAAGGATGAAGATAGAATGTCCCAGGCTTCAATCCCTAGTATCGCAAATAAATCAAGTACAAAAATAGAAAAAAGAATGTTTCTAATCATAAGAAACGCCTTAGATATGTAAAGTCCTACAAAAACACAAGTGCTAAATTATAATCCAGGACAGAAAAATGCTCCAATTTTTAAAACACAGGTTTCATTTTTTTTATTGCTAAAATTTTTACCAATTTGTTTTGATTTAGTTTTCACACTTTTATTTAAATCCTGTCAATGAAATAGAAAACATATATCTTAAATATTTTACTAAATATATACAAGCAATCATTTTTTTCCCAGCACTGATGCTCTGCATTCCTTGTAAGCATATAAATAATTGGACTGAAGTAAAAAGATGGCATTAGCATAATGGAAGGTTTGCAACATTCTTATTCTTAGTCCAGAAAAGTGATCAAAGAAATCTGTCATTAATGTTTAACTTCGAAAAATATTTGAACTTAATCAGACCAAAAAAGGATGGCTTCTGATGAGATAACATAGAGGGGAAAAAAAAATCTTAAAAAAAAAAAAAAAACACCCAAAACCTAACCAATATAAGACTTACAATTCACCAAAGTGTATGAAGGACCAATCCTGATTTTCATGCTATGCTTTCTACAGAGATGTTGACCCTGAATTCTTCTGTTACTGGTGCTTATTTCAATAAAAAGGATAAAACACAATTATCCTATAAGATCACACAGGGAGAGGTGGAAGTAAAATCCATGGGGAATCTAAAAATTTTCTTTCGGTTACTAAATATAATTCTTTCAGACTCAACTCTAAGAACAACTTCTGAATAACACGAATCCAACAGGCTTTCTTATTTACTTGCCCTCTGACAAAGACATTCAGATAAATGAATGAAAATTAGAATTTTGGATGTTCTACAGTTTTTTGTATCTTGTCTTTGAAATAATGTGTGAAAGTACATAACACACACTAGTGCTCAATAAATAGATTAACTTCTCCTGGCTCATCATGACATTCATTTGCCTAAGCTATGTTATTTATGGTTAACATACTACTAGGCCCATGAATGGAACCCAGGCCCCTTTTTTTTTAATAGAGTAATCTCTAAAACTAATGTATTTACAAGGAATCCAGACAACAAAACAAATATATACATATGAGAGGATTTATACTCTGTTTTCAAGTTATCTTGACTTCTTTGTTCAGATCTCTTCACAACGCCTTCCCTTTTTTTGTCACTATTCTCAAGTACACTTGTACTAAAATCTTTAACAGCAATTTTGACAAAGTTTGCTTATCTCTCTGAACATCTTTTTTTGTAGAGAGAGAGAGAGAGAATTTTAATATTTATTTTTTAGTTTTCAGCAGACACAACATCTTTGTTTGTATGTGGTGCTGAGGATTGAAACCGGGCCGCACTCATGCCAGGCGAGGGCGCTACCGCTTGAGCCACATCCCCAGCCCTCTCTGAACATCTTTATTATTGTCATTTATAAAGGAAAAAAAGTTAGACTAAACAATTCTAAAAACCCTTCCCATCTAAAGTTCTAGAATTTCCTTCACTATATTTTAAATTACCCTGTTCCGCATATATATTCTTTAAAAATATGAAGAATATTTGTAAAAAAGTTAAGAAGTTATCAAATATTTGGTCAAAGTTAAGGCATACAATACTATAATCTATGCAAAAACTACATTCCATAGGATGAGAGAAGTAGATATATTAAAAAGTATAAAGATATGAAATTTGGCATGCAGATAAATATGAAACAAAGGAAGTGATAAATCTGTAGGAATCTACATGAAACAAAGATGAAATAAATGTTATATAAGGAAAGAATAAATACTGTCAAGGTGAGGAAATACATGGAAAAATCTCTCTCTGCTTGGATTGGTAAAATCTTGAAGACATAACTGAAAAGAAAACATTTCACTGTATTTACTTAAAAATACTCACTGAATATGTACTATAGGAAAATTTAATCACAATAACTTTACTCAATACAAGGTATCTGAAAGTGAACTAAACAAGGGCTCTCAGTAGTTTCAATATCATTCATTAAAAGCCATATAGATATGAAGAGTACCCACAGATTTGTTTCTTCACCAAGTGATGCTACAGGGCCATAAAAAGAAAACAAAACAACAAAAAAAACGGTAGACTACTAAATTTACCTTAACATTAACCTAAATGAAGATATTAATCTAATGCAGAGATCTCTAGCATTTCTCAGCTCAAAACATACAGGTACACCCCAAAATTGTCTCACTCACATTGGTGAACCTGAAGAAGATCCATAAAAATATCTAAGGATCAATGCTCTAAGGCAAAAAATGCTTGTACTGGTATATTCCATAATGCCAGAGTCTGTGATGAGCTTTTCCTAAAGTTTAAAGTGCTTTGTTTAGATAAAATCACTCTTATCCAAATTTAGTTTCAGAAGTATGTTTGAAATATTTGCTACTATACTATTAAACAGGGCTTTAAAAAAAATCTTTTACACTGCTGTGATTAGACTATCCTTTAGTAACTATTATGCTCTGAAAGGCTATAAAATTAACAAGCTGTGTTAAGAACAAAGGGTAACACTTTTCCTAGGTCTATCTAAAGATATGCATGGCTTCTTTGCAGTCCATTAGCACAGTTAATATGAGCAAGTATATTAATACAGACTTTAAAGGTAGAGATTCTGCCAGTAAAGCAAACTCAAGATTTGATTGTCTACTCTGGAATCTGTCTTCTTGTTTCATTTACGTTCAATAATATTTGAAATAAGGTACATATACCAGAAAACATTTGGTATCATGATCTACAATTTTCATCTAAGTATTTGGAGAACATAAAGTAACATAAAAAGGACCTTAGCCTCACCTCACTTAAGAATACAGCAATGTTAGTTAGCAAAATGAGAATCTAAATGCAATAAAGGGAATTATTTGTCTAATAGGATAAAAAGGTTAAAATTCTAAACAGGACGATATGTACAGTGTTGGTTTTTCAATTATTTATAAGGAGGACAATAACCTATCCATAAAACAAAAATCACCACCACCATCATTTATTTAATACCTCAGACTATTTATCAAAGAATTCCACAAAATCTATTCTTATGTAACAAGAGAATTCATACCCTTTCAGTTAGACAGTGGATCTGAAAACTGTGCCAAAAGTACTTAATTTCTTTTGAAGTCCTATAATTTACTTTAAAAATTCCTGTACATTTTAAATGTCTTTCCATGAAACAGTCTTGTCTATTTTAATATAAAAAGTTTCCCCCACACACACACCCTATTGTGTGTGTGTGTGTGTGTGTGTGTTAGTTATTGGGGATTGAATCCAGTGGCACATCCGTACCTCAGCCTCCTGAGAAACTGGGATAACAGGCATGTATGTGTGATCTCATATGGCCCCTTGTTCACCTATTCTAAAATTTTTAATAAAACTAATGTTTAAGAGAAAGGCATTTTGTATGACCTTACATATCTCTAATATTCTCCCAAATACTCCAGGAATGAATACTTTTACACTAATATGAAAGACAAGGCCAAGTCAACAAAGTTTCTATCCCAGAGAGAACTGCTGCTGCAGCCCACCTAGGGATCAACGAGATTAAGTGTCTTCCCCCATTTAATATCTCCTACTTGGGCATGTTGGTTGCATTTTGGAAATTATGAATATCAATGTAGTAATAAGATTTGGAGAAGGAAGAAACAGATTTCACAAGTATTTCTAGCAAGCAGAAAGGGGCATATTCCTTCCGAGCAAGGGTAACTGCATGGTGGGGGAAAAAATGAAGACATTTAAACATTAAAAAAATATTTCAATGCAATCATCTTAACTCCCTCCGGATGAATTTCAACATTTGGTCATTATTTAAAGTGTACTGCCTAAAGGTATCAGGCGATTTCAGAGATCAAAGATCCAGTGATCCATGTTCAAAAGGGTCGTAAGAACTACAAGCCACTATCTCTTAAAGATTATACATCATGACCAATTGGGATTTATTCCAGGAATTCATAGTTGGTTCAACATCTAAAAATCAATTAACATAAGATAACCTATCAACAGAATTTTTAAAATGATCATCTAAATAGATATACAAAAGCATTTGAAAAAATCTAATAGCAATTCAATATCTTTTAAAAAAACAAAATTCAGTAATAGAAAGAAGGAAACTTCCTCAACCTGAGAAAGTCCATCTATTAAAAAAATCCATCCCTAACATCATACTTAACAATGAAAATTTGAATGTTTTCTCATTGTGTGCAGGAACAAGAAAAGTATGGCTGCTTTTACCACTTTGATTCAACATAGTATCAAATAATACTCAAGGCAATACGAAATAAATAAATAAAAAGAAAGCAAGAAAGGCACTCAGATTCTAAAGGAGGAAATAAAATCATCTCTATTTCCCACAATATGATTCTGTATAGAAAAAAAAAACTTAGAACCAAAAAGGAATCAAGAAAATATCTTCAAGAAAATAACTTCAAGAAGAGTAAGACATAAAGGGATAAATTCAATAGAAGCTCAAGACTTATATCAGAAAACTACAAATCATTGTTGAAAGAAATTAAGACCTAAATTAATGAAAACCATGTTTATTGTTACATGACTTAAAATTGTTAAGATGGAAGTACCTGAACTGATGTACAGATTTAATGCAAGCAATCTTAATGACCTTCTCT